GCACACACGCACACACGCACGCACGCACACACACACACGCAGTCACACAGATGTCATGTTTAACATACACAAACAACATGACTCTTAGGAATTTTTAGTCTTCCCTTATTTGTTTGTTTTTTTTTCTTGCCTGTAAATTGCGAACGTAAGTGAGACTGGTCATATAATTGCTTCAAAAGTTCAATCGATTATTCAAACCGTTTTTTTTTTAAAAACACACACGCACACATTTATATTAAATTAACCCACACACGCACACACACATTAACCTACACACACACACACACTCTCTCTCTCTCTCACACACACACATACGCATACACACAAGCATATAGAAACATAGGGGCAAGAGCACGTCTGCAAGTCGAAATAAACATTCATCTATTTTCATAAATACAACGACATCATTCTGATTTAGAAGCAGTAAAGAATATTAGCATTATACATACACACAAAAACACAGACATACAAACACACTCATACACACAAACACACACTCGCGCGCAACGCCAAACACACAGACGTAAACACGTAAAATGAAAATAATAAAATGTACAAAGATATAGAGGTTGTAGAAATTTTTAAAAAGACATAGAATAAGAAAAAATAAATTATTAAGAGAAAGTAACGTTAAATAGGCGAATTAAGTGAACGGGCACGTTCTGATATTCTTACTGAATTATTTACATGGAGCCAGAAGAAGAAAAACTAGAGAAAGGGAGAGAAAGAAAGAAAGTGATAGGTAGGGAGAGAAAGAGGGCCAGACAAAAATAAAAGAAGAAAAGAGATAACAGAGATAGAGAAATGGAGAAAGAGAGAGAGAGAGAGAGAGAGAGAGAGAGAGAGAGAGAGAGAGAGATATAGAGGAAGCAAAGAAAGTATTATGTTAAAACGGCTTATACATGCCCAACGACGTGTCCATGAATTCATAAACAGACCTAACCAGCCAGCCGACCAACTAGCCAGTTAAGCCGAAGGATATAAGGTAAAGTTCGGTTGCATCTAGATCAGATGTATGGAGGAAAGCTGTATAGATAAATTCTCTTTCGTTTTTGAGCAAATTTTTTGTTGGCTCCTTACAATTTTTTTTATCCGCCGGCTACATTTAACGACACTCGTGAGTAACTTTAAAACGCGCCTCATTTTAAATAAAATTTTACGATGTTAATTTCAGATGTTTTTTTTGTTAGTTATTTTTGTTATGTTTCTTTTTCTTTTTTTTCAAGTTCTTCTTGGTAACATGAAAAATTAGCTCTATAGTTTGAAATTACAGGTAGAACATGGACGGACTACTATTTATCTTTGTGTGTTTGGATGTGTGTGTTTGTATGTGTGTGTGAGTGTGTGTGTTTTTTTGCTTGTTTGTGTGTGTGTGTGTAATTAATAATTATCAAATTATCAGAGTGATTGAGTATATAGCTATAGTCATGGCTGTTTGTGTCCTTCGAGAAACTTTCATTATTAATTTCTACTTGAGTGATAGGTAATTTGCTTTTGGGTTATTTGCTTAAGTTTAGTATTGACTTAATTGTCGTAATTAGTTACATTTCCCCTTTTAGTAACTTCCCCCTCTCTCCCTTTTTCTTACTCTCTCTCTTTCTCTCTCTCTCTCTCTCTCTCTCTATCTATCTATCTATCTATCTATCTCTCTGAATCATCACTTCATCTCTTTAAACGTTAAAATCAAGAAATTTGATGAAAAGTACAAGAGATGAAATTATAACGTTGTAGTACAACGTTATAATTCGTCAAATTTCGTGTGTGTATGTCGAAACAACGTTGTAAGCCTAATGATAATAAATAATGATAATAAATATGAATTAAAACAGCTTCGTGTTGTCGAAATCCTTATTAAAAAATTAATTAATGCAAAATGGGCAAAAATATTTAACGATATTTGCATCAAAGAAAACCTCGTTCCAAAAAATATATATATATATATATATATATATATAAATGATGTAAATGGTATGAAACTACTCAGACCTAATACCAAATTTTTAAAATGAAGATGAAAATTTTATTTCAAAACTTATTTATGACGCGTAAGTACTGTTTATTTATTCATCTTTATAGCTTAGGAGAATTTTTCATTCATTCATTCATTCATTCATTCATTCATTCATTCATTCATCCATTCATTCATTCATTCATTCGATCATCAATCACGCAAATTTATATAGCGCCATTCACGCTCTTCTCAACAGCGCTTCATTTTTTTATCTATTTTATATTTTTGTTCATTTTTCTTTCACTATATGTTTTCCTCTTATTTTCTTGTTTTGTCTTTCTTTTTTCATTTTTCCTCGCTCCTCCTACCTTTTACTCTCTAGTTGTTTCTCCTGAAAGTTGTATGTTCAGCTAAAAAAAACTATAAAAAGTGAGATGACGTGGCAAACGATGTTGTGGTGTGCCGGTAAAAAATGATGGGAAATTCCAAAAACTGGCGTAGAAATTGAATTAGCGAGGACGTAAATTAGATTTTGAAGAATGTTAAATGGAGATTATGTTGAGGCCGTTTTAAACGCTCGTTGTTTTAGTCCTATTGTATAGTTCTGTCCTTCAGATGTTTTTGAAATAATTAAGAGTAGACATCTAATACTTAAACTGTGGTAAGCTCGCGTGCACCATTCACACACACACACCACACACACACACCACACACACACACACACACACACAGACACCTACAAACACACGCACAACAAACGAACAAACAAACACCCATAAATATCCATATATGCACTTATATTTTGTTTAATTCTTGCTTATTATTCTCAAAGTATTTTTTTAACTTTTAAAAGTTTTCCAGCGCAACAAAACTTAGAAGTTTTTTCTTCTTAAAGAAATTTTTCCAACAATTTAATGCGGCATCGAGTTGTTCATGCGATAATATCTTGCGGTACACACACACATACACATTCACGCGTACACATGCACACACACACACACTCACACACGTACACACACACACACACGTACACACACACTTTTGCATGTATACTCACATAGAAACATAACAAATTATTTTTATTTGCAGCACAAAACGAACGTTAAGCTAACGTTTGCAAACACATACATACTTAAATATGTATTATACCTTAGCTACCCAAATGTATACAAGTATACATTTGGGTAGCTATCCATTTCCACGCATTGCCACACACCAAACGCCCACAAACACTCATACCTACACAAACTCATCCATACGCAAATATGATATATACTCATATATACAAACAAGTTTCATTTGTCCATACAATTTATGCGGATGTGCATGCATAAAAAGATATAGAAACGTACATATACAAATAGAGGCGCACACACATGTACACACACACATACACACACACACACATACATACACACACACACAGATCGGTCCCGTATAAAAATTTGATGTGCCTTCTACAGACGCGCACACGCACGCACGCACGCACGCCCACACACCACATTGCGCTGCACTGCGCGTACATACGAATCAGCTGCGTGTTAGTAGTATGGAATGATGGTTGTTGTAGGACGAAGAAGCTAGCGTACAATCGCCTGTTTGTACCTTCTTCTATGTACACTCTACCGGGCTGCTCTG